AAAGTTAAAGTGCGCGTAGGATTTGGTTATAGGAATTTAATCGGACAAGAAAAGGGATTTATCGAAAGTTGAACCCTCCTAATTTGGCCAATTTTCTAGATTGCCCCAAACTTTTTTTAAACTAGGGAATTGAAATATGGTCCAACTTTATGGCAAGAATTTTTTTTTATTTTTTGTACATGTGATCTCGAATCATTCTTAGGAAGTACTAGTTTTCTCCATTGATAAGTTTCATTCCATTTTATTCCAAATTTTAAATCCAAATTAAATTTTTAATTAAATTTTTAATCATTAAAATATTTTTTTAATAATATTTACACTAATTTTTATTTTGTCAAGAATCTTATTTAAGAAAATTACTTAATATTAAATTGTTTATAGGCCGGATTAGATTATTTAGATTATTGAATAAGTTCGATCAATCTTTTAAAAGTTTTGTTTAAGATTTATCGAATCCAAAAAGCTCAAAATTTTCAAAAATATATATTAAAATATTAATATTTTTTAAATTTTTTAAATTAAAATAAAATCAAATATATTTTATTAATAATTTAACACTTAAGACCAAATCAAGTATAACTTGAAAATTTCTATCCAAGGCTTCGTTCGAGTTGAATTTGGCTGGAGGAATAACAATAATTATAATCATACATATATTATATTATAACATATATAAATATTTAATAAAATTTGTCACATAAATGTTTATGTGAATAATTTTTTTAAATAACACTGTAATAGTTTTTTAAAATAGTAGGATAAGTTTATTTTTACCTGATAAAATTTGTTACATAAACATTTATGTCGATAGTTTTTGTGAATAATATTATAATAATTTTTTAAAATAATAGGATTAGTTATTTTCATTACAAATTAAATAATTTTAAATTTATTCAAATATAAAAATTATTTAAATTATAATTAAAAATAAAATCAATTTAGAGATATATTTTTTAAAATAAAAATTGGAATTATGAATTTTATCTTTATGATCAATAATTTTAATTGTTTACCAATAACCTTTGTTTAAAATTTTATTTAATTATTAAAATCTTTCAACATATTTAAAATTTCAAAGATTAAGCTTATCTAAATCTTTTAACAGTCCTTTTTACCTTAATTTCAATCAGTAAAAATTTATTGTTTCAAAAACTTGCTTAAAACATTATAATTCAAACAACTTTTCATAGTAAATCTTTAAATAATAAAACTATCAAAAGAGTTATATCCATTTCAACTCAAATTATCAAATTTATGTTTCAAATATATACAACAAATTTTTATTTCACATTTAGATAAGTTTGAAAATATTTTTTGAAAATTATCTATTTAATTCTAATTATTGCCACTCAACAAGTTTTTCTATAATTTTAAGACAATAAATGTAATATGTTATATCAATTTTTTATTTTTCTCCTTGCAACTTTTTTGCAAAGTATATTCTATTACTATTATAATTTATTCTTTTGGTTTACATTTTTTTCAAGATATACCCTTTATTTTATTGCAATTCATTCTTTATAAAAATTAAATATTTTTTTAATTTTTTTTTCACATATTCATAATATTTTTCATATTTTGTAAAACATTGATTCAAGATTATACAAGTGAAAAATGTTTTATTTTTTTTATTACTTCAATATATATATGTTTTATTTTTTATAAAAGACATATTTATTTTATTTAATATAATATTATAAGGGTATATAATATTACCGTAGATAAAAATGATTCAGTCATGTTAATTTTTTGTTAGCTTTTTTTATAAAAAAATTATGACAAAAAATATATAATGGATTTTATATATGTTATGATATTTTGAAGATTTTCGTTTAATATTAAAAAAAAATAATATATATATATACTCATATTAAATACATTAAAAATATTTCATGCATCGCATGATTAAAATCTAATATACATATAATACAAAATTATTACTGTAAAATATGGTTTTAACTAACTTTCTAAATACCCTCGCTTTTAAAACTTTTGTGTTTTTTGTGGTTTCAATCAAAAAGTACAAATAATTATTTAAAAACTCTAAAAATGAACGTGTGAAATACTCCGTCATGCAAACCATGCAAGTTTTCATTATATTTCTTAATTCCTACTAAAGCACTCAAATTATAGAGTCCCAACGTGGAATGTTTTGATTCAGTTCCCGAATTCACGGAACCAAAACTCTTCGCAGTCTCATGATCACTTCTCAGTGAATGCATTTGCCTTGTTAGAGTCCAAAAACATACCGTAGACGTCAAATTTGTTTGATATTTTTTAATTAATAATTTTTGTATTATCGAATCGATACTCGATTTCAATTCAATTGAATTTCAAGTTCGATTTTAATTCAATTGGATTCAGATTCGATTTTAATTCAATTGGACTTCATGTTCAATTTTAATTTGACTGGACCTAAAGTTTGATTTCGATTGAGCCCAAAGTCCATTTTGTTTTTTAAGCCCAATTTACCTTTTTTTTTGTTTTATTAAATTAAATCAAAATATAAAATATCAAAATACCAAACAAAAAAATAAAAAATAAAAATAGGGAATGATAGGCACCACTGGCCATCATATCCTACCCTCTGATCACCAATCCCACTGGTCACCATACCTTACCCTCTAATCACTCATACTCTGTTCACTATCATCGCCTAAGCTCTTAGTCATCATGCCCTATCACTGTGGGATATGACAAAAAAAAATAAAAAATGTATGGGACCCGTGTTTTCACCCCCATGCCTAGTCCTGTGCCACTCCCTCAAGCACAAGTCACTGTCGGAGCTTTATAAATAGAGCTCCTGGCCAAACCAAAAAGACAGGAGAGGACGCTGCCCAAATAACAAAAAACTCTAAAAAAAAAAACACACAAAAACTCAGTCTCCTAGAACGGAGAACCTAATGCCAAGAGCCCCTGTAAAAAGAAAAAAAAGTCAGATAAAAAAAAAAGGTTTGGCTGAAACTTTAAAAGCAGATATAGGTAATTTGAGACATTTTCAGGTGCAACTAAGCTCAGATTTGTGCTCATGGGGGAAAAGGAGAATTTTTTATGAGTTTTTGAGATTTTTCGACAACCGACGACGACGCAGACAATCGATGATCGATGGTCGAAACGACAGATGGTGATCGGTCGACCATTCTAGATAGAGACGATTTGAGAGTGTAGAGAGAGGGGAATAAGAGAAAAAAAAAAAAAAGGCTTTTATAGAAAGCTGAAAGTCAAAACGACGTCGTTTCATTAAACGGTTAAAACGACGTCGTTTCATTAAACGGTTAAAACGACGTCGTTTTAAACCCTTGAGAATCCGCGCGTCAACCCGTGACTCGACCTGATGTTCATTTGCGTCTCCTTCAGCCTTTAATTGGTCTAGTCGAACCAACCCAGACCGAACATAATCGAATCGTTGACCCGAATTGGACCGACCCCAAACTGCTAAAGGTTACCAAACCGTCAGATCGAAGTTGATCAGATTGTTGATCGATCCAATTCAGGTAAAAATTTTTTTTTTAATTTTTTGATTTTTTTAAAATATTATTTTTGTTATTTTAATAATTATTAATAATATTTATGCATGTACAAATATTAAAATTTATCAAAATAAATTTTTATTGTTTTATAATAGTAATTAATAAAATATATTTAAAAATTTTTATATTAACTTTAAATAAATCTTATAAAATAATAAAAATAAAAAATAAGAAAAAAAAATTTTTATCTGATGATGAGATTCAAAGGTATATCGAATAGCGATACCTACAAAATCTCTAGATGATAATATTTTTTTAAATACTACAAATGTATTGGAGTATTTATAAAAAAAGTTTTTCAACAAAATAAAAATTTCCTTTTTGTTAATAAAAAATAATAATAATTAATTTATTAAGAAAAAAAAGAAATTTTATCAAATGATGAGATTCTAAAAATATTTCGAGTAGTGATGCTTTACGAAATTCTTAGGAGATAATATTTTTTTTAATATTATCAGTGTATTTAAATATTTATAAAAAATATTTAATATAATAAAATTCATTTTTCTTTAAAACTTCAATTAAAAATAAAAAAATCAAATAAAATTAATTAATAAAATTTTTAAACAAAAATAAAATGCGTGCATTAATTTATTATCATTTGCATTGCATACATGATATTATTTTTATATGAAAAATAAATTTGAGCCTCCAAAAATAAGATTATAAGATATTCTAAGAAGCGACCTAAAAAATCTCTATGTGAGAAAAAGTTCTTTTAATGTTACCAACGTATTGAAACATTTTAAGAATTATTTCAATAAAAATGTTCTAATTTATTTTTATATAATAAAATTAAAAAATAATTAATAAATAAATCAAAAATAATTTCTAATAAATAAATCAAAAAAATTATTTTTCAAACACAAAAAATAAAATAATTTTTTATCAAAATCAAAAGATAACATATAATTAATTGATACCGTTTTAAACAAATGTTGTGAAGATGTTAATCCTTCTATAAATATAATCGACTTTCGAACCTAAACTATTACGTAAATCTTAAAATTATATTTTTAATAAATTTTAATATTTTATTAAAAAATTATATTTTAATAAATAATTAATTACATCTAATAAAAAAAATTAATAATTTTATTTTTCATTTTCAAATTCGGATAATTCCAAAATCGTTACTACACGTACACCAAAATAGCCACAAACAAAAAAAGCGAAAAAGATTCCAGTAATCCAGGTTCTGTCACAACAGTTGGTTGGGCTTGAACCGGTCCTGTCACCATTCATACAAATTTTCTATCGATCCTAACCATTCTTCATTGGAAATAGTATATATATATACAAATATATATATATATATATATACCAACGTGGAACTCTCTGAGGACGAAGCATCAATTAACAAATAGAAGCATAGAACCTAGTTACTTACATGGTAAGAAAGATTTTTATGGTGTCGTTAGTAGGTTTTATGATTTGAAACTGATTCAGTGAATTAAAGGAAATGCACATAATGAATTAAGTATATGCCTACCAGCACACGTTAGAACTAGTTTTCTATAGATTTTTAGTTAGAAAATACATCCAAATCGAGTAATAAAACTACCACAACAAGGTTTAAAGTAATTGAAGATAAGTCTTCAACTTCCAATATTTATATATATGTTTTCATATTTGCATTTGACCTGACAAATATGACAGAAATATACATTCTTGGCAAGGGTTCAGCTTTATTCCTTGGAAGAATTTACTTCATATCCTCTCATCTGTTTCAGCTAAGAGAAGGGAAGCCTGCAAAAGAGTTGAAAATTAAAGTAACTAGGCATTAAATTGATCAAAAATTATTGTTCTTGATAAAAAATTATTATTGTTCTTGATAAAAAATTAAACTGTGTGATGAAAAGCAGCAATGAGCCGCTGACTCTAGCTTTTATCCTTCAAACATGAATATTCATGATTTGCAAGCATGCATGGCTTACCCTAACTTGAGAGAAGTATCTGAGCTATCGTCCTCCAATGGAGGGCCGCTGCTGCAACTACAAACATTAGTGACAGACTCTGATGACATGCCTTCTTCCTGAACAGCAACATCTAAATCTGCTAAGACAGGTCTTTTTCCCTTGCACAATGTCACCATCTGAAAACCCCAAAAGCTTATGTCAAAATTTTTTTTTTAATAATTTGAAAATTGAAAGAACACTCCACAGCAGCATGACAAATTCAGAAACTACTACTTACTTTCTGCTTAAGTTGCTTGTTCTCTTCTAGCAACTGTGCTCCCTGCAATATCATCAAAGTGGAATTAAGCAAATAAAAGAACAAGGATATAAAATGAAATTTTCTATTAATAATTTTCATGGTGCAATTTTAAGCAACTAAGCTTGAATGGTTGTAGTTAGAAATCCTCGAAAAAAGTCCGAATTTTCAGGTATTTATCCATTTGAGGATTGAAATTAAAATGAAAGTTTAGCATTTGGGCATTCATCTCAACATGGTACATCTTTCTTAAGAGTTAAAACAGCCTGACGATCTTTATAACTAAAATAAAACAGATTAGGAGCAGTCCTGTAGCTATAGCTTTCAAAGATAAACTCCACTGAATCGTTGAGTAAGAATCTTATTAAGGTGCAAAAACAATAATATTGCAATAACTTTGAATAGCAACCAGCAGAGTCTGAAACTATAGGATGCTTGACTCCAAATAATATTTGACAGAACCATTCGGTTCAGCTTTTCTTTGCATGGAAGATGGCACTAGTTTTTCAAACATGCATATTGATGGCTTGGCTTGTAGAAGTTTCAAATGCTTGTATACTAACCTTCTTTTCAAGTGAAGAGATCTCATTTATAATACGTTCACCCTGAGAAAAATGAAATAACATACTTGTTATTATAATGGGACAAAATCAGCCTCTGCTTTGCGGATTAAGCAATAGATATAAACCTTAGTCTCAAGAACGCGCGTAAGTCCTGATTCAAGCATTTTCTCTAGTTGCTGCAATTCATCTATGTTCAGTCCTTGAAGATCTTCTCCTCTCATCTGCCTGTCATAAAGTGGTTATATGTCAAATTTCCTTCAATAACCATCACATTGGGGAAACAAATTAGTGATTACTAACCTTAGTTGATGGGTCTTATCAGCAATTTCCTTGCTCAATCTTATGTGATTACTGTTTTCCAGCTATAATTGAAAAATGGCACACTCCATTAGAAGCTATATTCCAATTTGCATGACTTCAAAATACCAAAATAAGAAAATGATGATGAAGGAAAAAGCATTTGCAAGGGCCTCAAGGATTTCTGAAGAAAATTTTCTACTGTAGCCTTTTAAATCTACACGCTACATCTTTTAAGATGAAACATCAACAGAAAGAAAAATCAATTCTACATATATAAAACTAATGAAAGAACTCAAGTAACAAGTTGCTTTACATATAATGAAGGATGGAGATCCACTACATAATTAAAGGCTAGGCATTGGAAATAAAATGAATATATACATATATATATATATATACACATATATATTTGAAATGCAATATAAGAAGCAGTTGCATGATTTTCCTTGAAATTTTCAAAATCTCCCAAAGGACACTTCAGAAGATTATGATAATAAAATGATTCTGAAGGTTATGAACAACTTATATAATTACCTGCAGTTCAAGAGACGGTTGCTCCAGTTTGTTTAGATTATTGGAGTGCAGATTATACCTTCCCAATATATCCTTCATGCTTCATTGAGAAAAAAGAATGATAAAATTACTTAGAAGATATTGTTCTTCAGGCAAAAACCTGAAGCAGGCATTTTAAATAATTGAATTCAATTATAAGGTGCATCAAACAAGGAACAGTTTACAAAGACTTCTCCAGCAAAACTTCCTATATATCCAAGAAAAATGCACCTTTGATGAAACAATATGGTAAAGGATGTTTGTTATTACTGCTGCTAACAGTAATTCTAAGCTCCAACTTAGCAATCTAACTCGACCACCATATAGTAAGTCCATGGATGCTAGTGGCAAAGTTTAAACATTTAATGCTATAATCCATGAGCATATTAGTTACTTAAATATAGGTGATAAGAGGAAATTGGATCTCAAAAATGACCTTATAGCAGTGCAATCTCATAATCTGCCTTTAACAAATTATTAGTGTGTGAAGTTCACTTCAATTAAGTGTTAGACCAACACTCTTAATTGAGACTAGCTCGAGTCGATAGTGAAGAAAATAGATGCATATCAATAAACTTTTATTTTGAGAATTTAATGGCAATATGCCTTCAAAAATTTTATCAATTTTTAGAGTAGTCTTAGTTAAATCTTAAATATAGAAAATATGACTTATTACATAAATACAAGGTTATGAAAACACCATAAAAATGTCTGCAGTACAAATGATCATATGACTATATATGTGGAAATTATCATAATTTTGGTTGGAAGTGACTGAGATGTCCTTATCAGAATGATGATGACAGCAAATAATATGCTAAATTCAGTGGATCATCAGCACCTACAACATTAAAGGAAAATTGTAGCACCAGCCAAATGGTCTACAAAGAAATCATAAACCATTTGGCCAGTTAGTGTAGTCTTTGGCTTTTTTGGCAAATATAATTTGAGCAACTAATTTATACCAACTACAAGCACTCCACCAATTGAACAAACAAGTAATGTCTAGCGTAATATTCTATGACATGATAATATGTTGATGTATAGCCATTTGATCAGTCAGTGAAGCAAAATGATTGTACTTAAACCGAAGATGTAAACCCTTTCACATTTAATCTAAAATTAGGGACTGGACCAACCAAGTAACTGAGCTCTAGCTCTGGCTGAGATGTCATATCAACTCATTAACATTCCCCTTTAGAATGAGCTGAGTGCAGAATCAAAAGCTTGTCTTAGGTAAGCTCATTAATACACCAACTTCCCAGTTTTCTGACATTGCCTCTAGAGGAAAAAGGCTATTCAAAGTACTTCTGATAAACTGGGAAAACACATCATAAAGGTCAAATTTTAACAAGATGGACCTGTGTTGGATCTGTTTGTTATAAGACTAGCATCAACCAACCAGTACCTGCCATCTCTTAGAAGATTTACCCAGGGAAAACTCACTAATTGCTATACACCAACATATTATCATGTCATAGAATATTATGCATGTATTGCAAAAGTTAGATACCATTAACTTATGTGAAGAACTTGTTTGTATGCTCAAAAATAATCTGCTCTTTGAACAAAATTAGAAATTATTTGAAAAATTATTTAGGTTATAGCATTGAAATCAAAGGTATGATTAGAAAATCCATTATAATGTTATAGAACATCCAAAGCATCAATTAACTATTTCACGCCTAGATGGTCATGAACCCTAGCCTTGTAATATGAGCTATTTATGATATATAGTGTCGTATACTCACATAAAACTTCATGTTTCCTCCTAATCCACTTTTAGGTTGCCTTCAACACAAAGCATCCAGCTATCTTTATTTATTTCATCTTTTACATCATCCCTCCGCATTACAGCATGCGTAATGTCTTCTTCTCTGGTTATGCTCATCCGTTACATATTCTTCTTAATTAGCAAACCTAAGATACTTATTTAAGCAGCCAATTATTAAGCTCAAATTTATATGGCGAATAGTCATAATCAAATTGTCACAGCCTCTTGTTTGACTCAGTGACTCCTTGAGTTTGAACACCTTTCAAGTAAAGAGGAAGTACTACACCTGTTTGAGACCAAAGAAAGGGCTAAAACATGGTTTTGCGTACTTGTTAGACTTGAAATTTCATATGAACATATATATATATATATTTGAGTCTCATATTTCCTCAGACTTCCAGTATAATAAGGATTGGTTTGAGCATAAAACTTGTCTAATCTCCGACCATTTTCATATAAGATAGTAATAGACAATGCCATTAATATGGTCATATGGCATGGAATCAATCAACATTTAAATACACAAAACAAGGTTGAGAAGAGAAAAAAAGACACTTTGATACTAACAAGCCACCTTCCGCAGCTATTAAATTGGAACAATAGAAATTGTTTAAGGTAGATTTTAAAAGGGATATTATTCTCTAGCTATACGTGCGACTAAAGATCCCCAACGTATACCATGGAATACCTAAGATCTCCTACCCCGAGAATCAGTAATCGAAGGGCATAAGGATATGATAAAAAGCAAGGTACCAAAATTATCCAAGAGGGGCATGAACTAATGACAACCAATTAATAAGTTTAAGGAAAAATTAAATCAAACACCGATTATTTTTCTTAAAGTCCACAAATCTTTACCAACACAAATAGATCTTTTTTGGGTTTGAGAAAGTATATATTTTATGCAAAAGAGATAACATAGAATTATATGTTCATCTCTTATAGATAAAACAAAATTAATATGAAAATAAGTAAGTCTACAAAGTAAACTATTACTTAGACAAAAAAAAAAAAAAACATTGTTTAAGCTACTTTTTCTTCCTACACAACTGCCATTGCCAACAAATAACAACAGCCTCCATGATCTGTGGAAATTCAACGAAAGAAAGATAATCCATAAGGGTTTGTAAATTTCTCATTTCCTCAAGATCTTCTCTTGAAAAAACTCAACCTAAGTGCTTTCAGTTACCAGAGAAATGAAAGTCCATAATCGTAAACCCAGGCGCTAGCTTGAGGTATTAACAGGTTTCTGGTACCCTTTACATTTCCAAAAAGATCAACTTCGTTTTTTCTTCAAAGGGTTGATACTTGTTTTGAAAGATCAGTCGTACGATCTAAAACCTGACAGCAATAGAACCTAGCTACCAGCTCCCCTTGCTCTCCCTTTATGTCTATAATATAAGTACAAAATAAAAAGAAGAGCAGGAATATTGAAAGAGAGAAGTGATGCTCTGATGATATATCGAAGGCCGTTTTGTCCAAAGAAAAGACAGTTAATGCAAAATACCTTGAGCTAGCAAACTCAAATAGCTTGCCAGTAGCCGAGAAAATGATGAGAGCAACCTCAGCATCACATAGAACTGAAAGCTCTTCAGCTTTCTTGAAAACCCCTCGCCTCCTTTTAGAGAAAGTCACTTGCCTGGCTGTCACGTTGTCAATCTTCTTGATCTTGATCTTCTCCCTTGCCATTTCTACTACCCTCCATAATATAAGATCCAAACACAAAAAAGAAAAGGTTTCACATTTCTTCACTCAGAGAAAAACAAAATACTAGGAGTAGCACATAAAATGACTTAAAAAAAAAAAGAAAATAAGTGGGTTTTCTTGACTTTATGTACAAAGTTCATTGAAGAAATTTTAACCTGAAACCCTAGTGGAAAACCCCCCCCCCTCTCCCCCAATGTTCAGATCCAGGTGAAAAAAACAAGAAAAAGTGACAAAAACCCACCAATCTTAGCACAATAACATGCAAAAAAAAAAAAAAAACACACACACACACACAAAGTCCGAGATTGGTGGGTTTATTTTCATTACTTTTACCTTATTGAGGAACTGTGGTATTTTTGTTCCGGAGATGGAAGTTTGGTCTGGTAACAAAAACCAAAAGCCTCCCAATCACAGAAAGTTACACCGTAAGATAGAGAGAAACGAAAAGAGTGCTTTGCTGGTTTAAGAAAGGAAAGGTTACCTAATTCCCTTCCTTTTTATAGCTAGAGAGAGAGTCTTTCTATTATCTTCAGTCCTTGGACATTTTGCCTAAAAAAGTTAAAAAGAAAATTACATTTTAGTGTGGAGAGAGATTGGGAGAGGAGCCAAAATCATGCCCTGGATCATGGATGATGGATCAAAATTTAAAACCAATTAAAGTGTGACTTCATTTCTCAATTTCCTTTTATTCAAATCAAAGCCCTTTTCTTTATTTTTTAAGCTTTTTTTGGGTGTTTTTTTTTTTTTATGTGGACGATCGCTTTCCGTACAATAGATACTAATGATGGTGAAGATATCAACCCCTACCACTTTGTGTCTGCTGCGCCCAGCCTTACCTCCAAGGCCCCATCACTGCTTCAGTTCCCCGTCAATGTATCGTGATTGTTCTCAGAATTCTCTTTTTTTCTTTTTTCATTTTTTTTTATCACTTTCTGCTTTTCTTTTGTGACTTTCAACAGTTACTTTCCTGATAAAAGCCGTTGGAAAATACCTTATATATTATTTTGGTGATTTTTTTTTTTAAGTTTATATTTGATGCAGTTTTAATATATGTATTTTATATTTTATTAGTAAATAAATAAATTGAATATATAAAATTTAATTTTTAAAAATATTTATTAATAAAATGATATAATGTGATTTATTTTATTAATTAAATAATATTATTTAATTTATTAATAATATAAAAATATATACTGATAATATATCAAATATAAAATTTTTTTAAATTGTTTATATTTAATATGTTTTTAGTGTATAAAATTATATATTGAATTACACAATAATACGTTACTAAATAAATTAATTTTAAATATATTTTTAAGATTAAGTGTATTTGTTTTAAAAATTTTAAAATTAATTTTTAATGAAATATCATTGTATAATTTATTACTAATTTATAACATTTATATATTGATAATGTATCAAATACAATATTTTTTTTAAATTCGACGATGAGATGGAAGAAATTCATACATAGTAAATTTATATAATAAAAAACATATTCCACATGATAATTTTTTTAATTTGTTTGTGAAATTTAAGAACTTTAAAGATAAACAAATAATTTAACAACTTTATCAATGGATTTGAATTATTGATTTAATTTTTTATATCTATAACAAGTTAACATATAAAATTGTTTAAAATTACATGAGTTGATAAAATATTAAAATTTTAATTTTAATAATTATAATTCAAATTTTGATATTCTAAAATACAAAAAAAAAATAACATATAAAATTAGATAATGGATCACATTTTTTATTAAGATATTAACTTTTTTAGAATAATTGAATAATAATATAATAATATTAATTTTATTTGTGAAATTTAAAATTTAATATAATAATTCATAAAAATATTAAAGAAATCTAGTAGTCAATCTCACACTTTTTTTTTTCATAACCTTTAATTTTTAATTTAAAAATATAGGTTAAACTCATGCATACAATGTTGGAGATTTCAAATAGGAAGATCATTTAAAATCATTTAAAAATTTAAACATTTAATTGAGATCTTTTTAAAAATTTAAATATTTTGAATTTCACAATTTAAAAAATAATTAAGAATGTATAAATTTATTGTTCAATAAAGTACTTGTACATTTAATCATGGTAATTTCTGCACGAGTCATAGTACTTGTTGATGCTTGAGAGAGATACTTACCCATGCTTGCATTGAAAAGATATGTTAAAGATTTTAAGTTTTTTTTTTTTTTTTGTCAAAGATTTTAATTTTTTAACATTAGTATATTTTACTCTTGCATTGAAAAAAAAAATTTTTTTTTCTATATGTGATTAGAACCAACCAGATCAATTTGTAATTTTACATACTTAGTATTATAAAAAAAAGCATATACACAATCTAAGTTTTTTAATCTGTTTGTTGTATTAATCTAATACGAGGAAACATTAAAAAATATAATGATATCATTGTTAAATATTTAATCTAAAATTAATTAATAATAAGTGAAATATTTAAATTAAATATAAAATCACATAAAATCTATGATTTAATATTCTTATTGTGCAAACTGTGTGTTAAAAATTAAATTATAATCACAATTAAGTAATTTTTAACTGATAATCATAGAATACTTTAATAATCTAATAAACAAACCAGTAATTGGCAAAATACTAGCTAGTAGAATATATAATGTGATTATAAACTTTTTTTAATCAATATTTGAAGTACTATAATTATTTAATAATTAGTTGATTATTTATTGAGGTTCGTAAAAGCCCAAAACTCTGCTGAAAATTTATACGATCAAAGATTCAGAGAAGCAAAACTACTAAGGTTGTAAATGAGCATAAACAAATAAATATATATTTGTAGTTTATTTATTTAATTTTATAAATATTATTTTATTCATTCGTTTATTTAAGTGATAAAATATTCGTATTAATTTACTTCGGTTAAATTAAATTAAACAAATTCATTCATAAATATGAAATAAATTTATTTATAAATGTATATAAATGAATATGTTCATAAATAATAAACAAACATAATCAAACAAATTTAATAAATTCTAAATAAATATTAAAAAATTAAAAAAAATGAAATTTAAAATAAAATAAAAATAAAAATATAATTGTTTTATATTATTATAAATGAATAATAAATAAATAAATTTTAAATGATTTTATTCATGAATATAAACGAATCAAATAAATTTATTTTAGTGTTTGTTTAATAAATAAATATAAAAATATTATTTAAAATTATTTATTAAATTTAATAAATGACATAAATAAATAAAAATAAAATATGTTAACGAATAATTTATCAAAAATTATATTTATTTACACCATTAAATATGACGAAATCTTGCAAAGTGGAAGATATATGTAATAAATTAAGGGAAGAGACTAGTCAAAAAGGCAATTTATTAGAGTGTTGATCTAAATAAATAATTTTGGAATTTACGTGCTGCCAATTTCCAAACGCATTACTCTTTGTTGGCCGAATTGCTCCTTTTAACCTGACAACCAAGTTTTGTTTGCAGTTACTAATTCCTTAAAAAAGTGCAACAACCTCATATATACTTCTTTTTTGCTTTTCTTTTCAGTGTTAAACTAAACAAAGGCTTCGTTCCGCAAAACCTCCAGCGCAATGGAATATTTGGATTATTGCAGGGCAGTGTTATTATTATTTTTTTTTTTTTTTTAAGAAGAGGGGTGGGTTTCCCTATAGCAGTGAGATGACGAATCATATCATTCTTGCGTTGTTTTGCAAAATATTTTGAATGATTTTGGATGATCACGTTTCAGGCTCTATTTGAATCTCATTGAACCATCAATGAAATGAGATTTATTTGTTTTTTTTCACTTCAAACAGATCATTCTTTCGTTTGAATTTTATCTTTGAGATATGATTAGTGTCAGTTAACAATTAAAGCTAAAAGCTGTAATGAATTATGAGTCCCATCGCTTTTTTTTTTTTTTGTCATTTTTGCTTTATAATTATAAGTTTTTAATAGTTATTTTTCATTTTTACTTTATTAAACTATTATTTTTACATTTAAATATATATATTTATAAATATTTTTTAATTTTATTATTATAATAATTAATTTTACTTTTATAGTTATTTTTAATTTCATCGAAACCATCGCTGTCAAAATGAAACCTTAAAACTGTTTAGGAAGACGGAGACAACGACAGAGATGCACCTTTGAAGGCGATGATGCATGATTTGCTTGCTCAGCCGTGTCGCCGGGAACCGCGGAGGCCCCTCACATCCTTACGTCAAAACGTATCTTCACCTACGACTAATTATCCACTGCCGACACGTTAAGGGCCTCCACCTCCACCCTCCATGTGAATAAGCATTGATTTGCAGGCTAACTTTTTTTTTTTTTTACGAAATAATCATAATTTGAGGATAAAAATAAAAATTATAAATATTAAATTTAAAATTAAAATTTCAAATTTATTAAATATATTTTTAAATCAATTTGCTTGCATTTTCAAGTGGTTGTAATTAATTAATGTAAGATTATTTCCCGAGTAATGATAATATTCGTTACTTAAAGAAGTAATGGAGATCCTTTACTATTTTGTCTAAAGGTGATTAATTCATCTTGAAATTAACGTATAGCTCAAATTTTAATAAATTTAAATTTAATAGGAAAATAAATAAAATTAATTCAAATAAATATTAATCATAAATTTAATTGAAAATACATAATAATAAAAATCTTTGGTACTTAGAGGATATTTTCACATGTTTCAGGGCAAATTTTAGCTTTCATATATATTTTTTTTCTTTTGGTGGCTTTACTTTTAATTACAAGTATGTCTACATAGTCCCATATAGTATTTACTGTTTTTCTTAATTCTTATTCATAGATAAAATGGAATCTAAAGTTTTATATATATTTTTTTTATTTACTTTTTGGATTATTGTCATAACTTATCTTTAAATTTAATATAATATTTAATATAATATTTAAATTTTAAAAATTTTAATATAATATTTGAATTATAAATATATTAATTGATATGATATTTAAAAAATTATTTATCAGTCATATATCATTATTTAAAAATAATTACTTTAGAAATTAATATTATATTAATTAATAAATTTAGAATTTATATATTATATTAAATATTTCATTATAATTAAAGACTTTATTTGATTGAAATAATGAAAGAGGTAATATAATAATTTGTTAATCTAATATTTAAGTTATAAAATAAAAAAATTAATTTAAATTTTAATTATTAAATTAATAAAATTTTCATCTCTATCCCTTTTCATCGTTTCTATCAAATAAAATTTAAAATGATTTGTGATATTAATTTTTAAATAAATAAATAAATTAAACTTAAATTTTAATTCAATTAATTATTTAAATCAAAATATTCAAGTTTTTGTTAAGTTTTTTTCTAAATTTCTGTTGCCCAAAAAAGGAGACTGATTTGAAGTTTTGATAAATTGAATTTGCTCCAATGAATTTTTTGGAAAGTGGCAAAAGCTCGTTTGTTTGAACAAGAAGAAAACTTTCTCCTTTTTCCATTGCGTTAAAGACACGAGCTATCGGACCACGAGAAAAAGGCAAAAACTGAAGTTGACCCATGGTAGCTTAACCCTACATTTGGAATGACGTA